ATAAAGATGTCACAAAGAAAGAAAACTACAGGCCAATATCACTGATGAACACAGACACAAAAATCCTCAACAAAATACTAGCAAACAGAGTCCAGCAGCTCATTAAAAGTTTCATACACCATAATCAAGTGGGGTTTATCCCAGGAAAGCAAGAATTCTCAATATTCGCAAATCAATCAATGTGATACACCATATTAACAAATTGAAGGATAAAAACCATATGATCATCTCAAGAGATGTAGAAAAAGCTTTTGACAAAATTTAACATCCACTTATGATAAAAACCCTGCAGAAAGTAGGCATAGAGGGAACTTACCTCAACATAATAAAGGCCATATATGACAAACCCACAGCCAACCCATAGCCACAGTTCTCAATGGTGAAAAACTGAAACCATTTCCACTAAAATCAGGAACAAGACAAGGTTGCCACTCTCACCAGTATTATTCAACACAGTTTTGGAAATTTTAGCCACAGCAATCGGAGATAAACAATAAAAGGAAGCCAAATTGGAAAAGAAGAAGTAAAGCTGTCACTATTTGCAGATGACATGATACTATACATACAGAATCCTAAAGATGTCACCAGAAAACTGTTAATCAATGAATTTGGTAAAGTAGCAGGATTCAAAATTAATGCACAGAAATCTCTTGTACTCCTATACGCTAATGATGAAAAATCTGAAAGAGAAATTAAGGAAACCCTCCCGTTTACCATTGCAACAAAAAGAATAAAATACCTAGGAATAAACCTACCTAAGGAGACAAAAGACCTGTATGCAGAAAACTATAAGACACTGATGAAAGAAATTAAAGATGATACCAACAGATGGAGAGATACACCATATACTTGGATTAGAAGAATCAACATTGTGAAAATGACTATACTACCCAAAGCAATCTACAGATTCAGTGCACTCCCTGTCAATCACCCAGTGGCATTTTTCACAGAACTAGAACAAAAAATCTTAAAATTTGTATGGAAACACAAAACACCCCAAATAGCCAAAGCAATCTTAAGAAAGAAAAACGGAGCTGGAGGAATCAGGCTCCCTGACTTCAGACTATACTACAAAGCTACAGTAATCAAGACAGTATGGTACTGACACAAAAACAGAAATATAGATCAATGGAACAGATTAGAAAGCCCAGAGATAAACCCACACACATATGGTCACCTTATCTTTGATAAAGGAGGCAAGAATATACAATGGAGAAAAGACAGCCTCTTCAATAAGTGGTGCTGGGAAAACTGGACAGCTACATGTAAAAGAATGAAATTAGAACACTTCCTAACACTATACACAAAAATAAACTCAAAATGGATTAAAGACCTAAATGTAAGGCCAGACACTATAAAACTCTTAGAGGAAAACATAGGCAGAACTCTGTATGACATAAATCACAGCAAGATCCTTTTTGACCCACCTCCTAGAGAAATGGAAATTAAAATAAACAAATGGGACCTAATAAAACTTAGCTTTTGCACAGCAATGGAAACCATAAACAGGATAACCCTCAGAATGGGAGAAAATATTTGCCAATGAATCAAGAGACAAAGGATTAATCTCTTAAATATATAAACAGCTCACGTAGCTCAATATTAAAAAAAAAAATCCAAAAATGGTCAGAGGACCTAAATAGACATTTCTCCAAAGAAGACCTACAGATGGTCAAGAAGCACATGAAAAGCTGCTCAACATCAATAGTTATTAGAGAAATGCAAATCAAAACTACAATGAGGTATCACCTCACACCAGTTAGAATGGGCATCATCAGAAAATCTACAAACAACAAATGCTGGAGAGGGTGTGGAGAAAAGGGAACCCTCTTGCACTGTTGGTGGGAATGTAAATTGATGCAGCCACTATGGAGAACAGTATGGAGGTTCCTTAAAAAACTAAAAATGGAATTACCATATAACCCAGCAATCCCACTACTGGGCATATACCCTGAGAAAACCATAATTCAGAAAGACACATGCACCCCAGTGTTCATTGCAGCACTATTTACAATAGCCAGGACATGGAAGCAACCTGAATGCCCATCGACAGATGAATGGATAAAGAAGATGTGGTACATATATACAATGGAATATTACTCAGCCATAAAAAGGAACAAAGTTGGGTCATTTGTAGAGATGTGGATGGAACTAGAGAGTGTCATACAGAGTGAAGTAAGTCAGAAAGAGAAAAACAAATATTGTATATTAGGGCATATATGTGGAATCTAGAAAGGTAGTGCAGATGAACCGGTTTGCAAGGCAGAACTAGAGACACAAATGTAGAGAACAAACGTATGGACACCTGAAGGGGGAAAGTGGGCAGTGGGTGGTGGTGAGATGAATTGGGAGATTAGGATTGACATATATACACTAATACATATAAAATGGATAACTAATAAGAACCTACTGTATAAAAAATAAATAAAATAAATTCAAAAAAATAAAACAAAATAAAAGACAAAGATTTCTTTCAAAATATTACTGCTCATTGACAATGTACCTGGTCCCTGAGGAACTCTGATGGAAATGTACAGTGAGATTAATGTTGTTTTCATGCCTGCTAACACAGCATCTGTTCTGCCACCTGTGGATGAAGGAGTCACTTGGACTTTCTAGTCTTATTATTTAAGAAATACATTTTGTGAGGCTGCAGTTACCATAGGTAGTGAGTCCACTGATGGATTTGGGCAAAGTCAATTGAAAACATTCTGGAAAGGATTCACCTTTCTAGATGCCATTAAAAATATTCATAATTCATGGGAAGAGGTCAAAATATCAACATTAACAGGAGTTTGGAAGAAGTTGATTCCAGCCCTAATGGATGAAACTGAAGGATTTAAGATTTCAGTAGAGGAAATAATTGCAGATGTGAAAATAGCAAGAGAACTGGAAATAGAAGTGGAGCCTGAAGATGTGACTGAATTGCTGCAATCTCATGATAAAACTTTAATGGATAAGGAGCTGCTTCTTATAGATGAGCAAAGAAAGTAGTTTCTTGAGATGGAATCTACTCCTGGTGACAGTGCTGTAACAACTGTTGAAATGACAACAAAGGATTAAAATATGACAGAAACTTAGTTGGTAAAGCAGGGGCAGGGTTTGAGAGAATTGACTCCAATTTTGAAAGAAGTTCTACTGTGGGTAAAATGCTATCAAACAGAGAAATCATTCATAAAAGGAAGAGGCAATTAATGCGACAAACTTCACTGTTGTCGTATTTTAAGAAATTGCCACAGCCATTGCAACTTTCAGCAACCATCACCCTGATTAGTCAGCAGCCATCAACATCAAGGCAAGACCATCTACCAAAGAAAAGACTACAGTTTGCTGAAGGCTTAGATGACGGTTAGAATTTTTTAGCAATAAAGTATTTTTAAATTAAGGTGTACACATTTTTTAAGACATAAGGCTATATTGCACACTTAATAGCCTGCAATATAGTATAAACATATATGAACTGGGAAACCAAAAAATTCATGTGACTTGCTTTATTGCAATATTCACCTTATTGGGGTTGTCTGGAACCGAACCTTCATTACCTCTAAGGTATGCCTGTAATTGCTTCTTCACTTTATGCCATTTCAGTTTATGAAAGGTTCCAAAGGAATGCTCTACTTTGGGATAGAGGGGGAACCTATACTTAATTATACTAGATATGTTCATTATGAACAATCAAAGGTCTTTTCAACTTAGTTATTCAAGTACACTAGAACCAAGGCAGGAGTTGATAATTCTAAATTGTAAAATCAAATTGGCACTGGACATTGAACAGACAATGAAATGCAAAAATCTTCTTAGTATACAGACAATAAAACAAAACAAATTAGTAAGTATATCATGGAATCTGTGGGGAAAGAGGCCTGAAGTTTCTTGTAAACAAGGTGGTAGTAGAAATTAATACTGTAATTTATATGACAGTAATTGCTACTCAATAGAAAGGTGATATATAAGAGTAATTAATACTCTTTAGTATGTTAACTGTCATTGATATTACCTTTATTTAATAGGTTGCCTTTATAGTTTTATTTTTAATGAAAATAAAATATAGGGCTGTTTAATATTTCCTCCCAATTCTGATCTCCCTAACACTTTTTCCCTATAAGATTCTTAATATATCAATCTGCTTTCTCTTTACATGTAGACTTTCAAGAACTCTTGTAATTAGTATTGGATTCTGTAAATGAAAATTACATACACAATTGCAATATCTGTCCCAAGATATTGCAATAGATACAAACTCTGCCACAACATTCACTTCCAATATCTGAATCAGTGATTTTCAAGTTGTGTTTCATGACTCAGTGGTAGATTATAAAATCAATTTGGTGCGTCACAACTATCATTTTAAAAAAAGAAACAGAATTAGTATGAATAAAAAAAATTTCAGCGTTCATCACTCATTGTCTTAGTTCGGGCTGCTATAGCAAACTACCATAAAATGGGTGGCAAAAACAACATTTCTCACGGTTCTGGAGGCTGGGAAATTCAAGATCAAGGTGCCAGCAGATTCAGTGTCTGGTGAAGGCTGTCTTCTTAACTTGCAGACAGCTACCTTTTCATTGTATCATCACACGTTGGAGAAAGTGATCAAGCATGCACGAGCGAGCAAGCTAGCTCTCTGGTCTCTTCTCATAAAGGTGCTAATCCCATCATGAGGACTCCACATCCTCTAAACCTAATTACCTCCCAATGGCCATACCTCCAGTTACCATCACACTGGGGGTTAGGGTTTCAACCTAAGAATTTTGGAGGCACACAAACATGCAGTCCATAACACACATAATATGAGTAAGGTTTATTTCATGGGACTTATATTTCAGTTTTATGCTTATGTATAAAAATATATATGTAAGTACATTTGAGTTATAATGTAAATTATATTTCTTATTTTGGTTGTGGTCAAAAAGCTTGAGAAATGCTGACCTAAATGCAGTTAGATCACTGTGCTGTATCAACATAGTTGATACATAATACTAATTCTTGATGTTATTTTTCAGAATAAGGAATCTAAAGAAGAGCAAGTGTAAGTATTAGTTTATTTAATTTTTAAATCTGTCTTAGTACTGTCAAAGTGTGCTTTGCCAGAATGACACAGCCTTGCTTTAGAACGTGTTCTCACTAAGAGAAGAATAGACAGTTTTTTTGTCTTAGTAAGTTGTCAGGTTTTTTTAACTGAAAGTGACAAAAAATTAAATTATCATTTATTTTGGGAGAATAGAATCTCTTGCCATTTTCCTATCAATGTATGGCTACTCAAGAGTCATCCAATGCTAACTGCTTTCTTCAAGGACTAAATTTGGTTCCAGTATAAAATCCTTTAAAATATAGTCTAGATTGTAGTTAGCCAAATATAGACTAAGTTAAACTTAACCTTAAAGGCAGATTATTGTTTGTCCCAGTGACCCCTTTTATAAAAGAGTTTGGTTTGGTTTGTTTAATTAACCTGAGATGTTTGTTTGGTTTTTTTTAACCCCAGTTGTTAACGGTGAATTTTGAACCTTTACTGGAAACCTTTTAATGTCTAAAGAACATTGAGAGCTATATTCTACAACCATATGATTAATGACAGTGTAGTAGAGGAAGGAAGTGGGGGAGACATTCCATAAAGAGATCATTATACCCACCAAAGAGTTGTTAACTGAAAATTAGTTACTTTAGAGAACTCTCTGTGAGGACATAATTAAGATAACTTTAAAATGGTAACAAGAACATATTTTGGTAACTTTAAAGCCATCGATTTTAGTTGATATTTTCTCATTGATTAATGGACATGATCCACTCGGTAAGTTAATAGTTCATCATCCAAGATGGGTTTTCACTTTCTTTGTCAACAAGTTGAGCCACTAATGCAATAGGTTTTTTTGTTTGTTTGTTTTTGCGGTACGCGGGCCTATCACTGTTGTGGCCTCTCCCGTTGCGGAGCACAGGCTCTGGACGCGCAGGCTCAGTGGGCATGGCTCACGGGCCCAGCCACTCCACGGCATGTGGGATCTTCCTAGACCGGGGCACGAACCCGTGTCCCCTGAATCAGCAGGCGGACTCTCAACCACTGCGCCACCAGGGAAGCCTTTTTTTTCTATAGAGCAGCTTATTAGTTATCCATTTTATACATATTAGTGTATCTATGTCAATCCCAATCTCCCAATTCATCCCACCACCCCTCCCACCACTTTCCCCCCTTGGTGTCCATACATTTGTTCTCTGCATCTGTGTCTAATTTCTGCCCTGCAAACCGGTTCATCTGTACCATTTTTCTACGTTCCACATATATGTGTTTATACATGATATTTGTTTTTCTAACTTACTTCACTCTGTATGACAGTCTCTAGGTCCATCCACATCTCTACAAATGATCCAGTTTCGTTCCTTTTTTATGGCTAAGTAATATTCCATTGTATATATGTACCACATCTTCTTTATTCATTCATCTGTCAATGGGCATTTAGGTTGCTTCCATATCCTGGCTATTGTAAATAGTGCTGCAATGAACATTGGGGTGCATGTGTCTTTTTGAATTATGGTTTTATCTGGGTGTATGCCTAGTAGTGGGATTGCTGGGTCATATGGTAATTCTATTTCTGGTTTTTTAAGGAACCTCCATATTGTTCTCCATAGTGGCTGTATCAATTTACATTCCCACCGACAGTGCAAGAGGTCTCCCTTTTCTCCACAACCTCTCCAGCATTTGTTGTTTGTAGATTTTCTGATGATGCCCATTCTAACTGGTGTGAGGTGATAACCTCATTGTAGTTTTGATTTGCACTTCTCTAATAATTAGTGATGTTGAGCAGCTTTTCATGTGCTTCCTGGCCATCTGTATGTCTTCTTTGGAGAAATGTCTATTTAGGTCTTCTGCCCATTTTTGGATTGTGTTGTTTGTTTTTTTAATATTGAGCTGCATGAGCTGTTTATATATTTTGGAGATTAATCCTTTGTCCGTTGATTCGTTTGCAACTATTTTCTCCCATTCTGAGGGTTGTCTTTTTGTCTTGTTTGTAGTTTCCTTTGCTGTGCAAAATCTTTTAAGTTTCATTAGGTCCCATTGGTTTATTTTTGGTTTTATTTCCATTACTCTAGGAGGTGGATCAAAAAAGATCTTGCTGTGATTTATGTCAAAGAGTGTTCTTCCTACATTTTCCGCTAAGAGTTTTATAGTGTCCTGTCTTACATTTAGGTCTGTAATCCATTTTGAGTTTATTTTTGTGTATGGTGTTAGGGAGTGATCTAATTTCATTCTTTTACATGTAGCTGTCCAGTTTTCCCAGCACCACTTATTGAGGAGACTATCTTTTCTCCATTGTATATCCTTGCCTCCCTTGTCATAGATTAGTTGACCATAGGTGCATGGGTTTATCTCTGGGCTTTCTAATCTGTTCCATTGATCTATATTTCTGTTTTTGTGCCAGTACCATATTGTCTTGATTACTGTAGCTTTGTAGTATAGTCTGAAATTTGGGAGCCTGATTCCTCCAGCTCCGTTTTTTTCCCCTCAAGACTGCTTTGGCTATTCGGGGTCTTTTGTGTCTCCATACAACTTTTAAGATGTTTTGTTCTAGGTCTGTGAAAAATGCCATTGGTAATTTGATAGGGATTGCACTGAATGTGTAGATTGCTTTGGGTAGTATAGTCATTTTCACAATGTTTATTCTTCTAATCCAAGAACATGATATATCTCTCCATCTCTTGGTATCTTTAATTTCTTTCATCAGTGTCTTATAGTTTTCTGCATACAGGTCTTTTGTCTCCCTAGGTAGGTTTATTCCTAGGTATTTTATTCTTTTTGTTGCAATGGTAAATGGGAGTGTTTCCTTAATTTCTCTTTAAGGTTTTTCATCATTAGTGTATAGGAATGTAAGAGATTTCTGTGCATAAATTTTGTATCCTGCAACTTTGCCAAATTCATTGAGTAGCTCTAGTAGTTTTCTGGTGACATCTTTAGGATTCTTTATGTATAGTATCATGCCATCTGCAAACAGTGACAGTTTTACTTCTTTTCAAATTTGTATTCCTTTTATTTCTTTTTCTTCTCTGATTGACGTGCCTAGGACTTCCAAAACTATGTTGAATAATAGTGTGAGAGTGGACATCCTTGTCTTGTTCCTGATCTTAGAGGAAATACTTTCTGTTTTTCACCATTGAGAATGATGTTTGCTCTGTGTTTGTTGTATATGGCCTTTATTATGTTGAGGTAGGTGCCCTCTATGCCGACTCTCTGGAGAGTTTTTATCACAAATGGGTGTTGAATTTTGTCAAAAGCTTTTTCTGCATTTGTTGAGATGATCATATTGTTTGTCTTCTTCAATTTGTTAATATGGTGTATCATATTAATTGATTTGCTTATATTGAAGAATCCTTGCATCCCTGCGATAAATCCCACTTGATCATGGTGTATGATCCTTCACATGTGTGTGTTTTTTCATGTCTAGATACCCTAAAAATAACTTACTAAAGAATGAAACAATATTATCAGTCATTTTGCTCATTTTGGCTTACAGCATAGAGCCAAACCTGGATGATCATCAAATCATGCAGCGAGCTTTGTTTTTAAATGAGAATTTTCAAAGACACACAAAAGTAAAGAGAATAATATATCTACATTTGTATGTATACCTATCATCATGATTCGACAGTTATCACTGTTTTTCCATATTTGCTTCATTTTTCCCTTAACATTTTGTTCTTTTTTGAATGTTTTCAGTCCCAAACATCATATAATTTTACCTCTACGTGATTCAGTTTGCATCTCTTTAATAAGAGATGAATATTTTTCTATATTATCGTAATGCTATTATCATACTTTAAAAATTTAGGAATAATCTTTTGGAGCTTTTCAAAACTACAGATTTATATTTTTACAGTGTTGGGGTGTCAGAAAAATGTAATTTTTTAACAGCTTTTTAAGCAATATGGAAAACTGATTGGGTTTTCGAACTGTGGTCTACATAAGCAGTTTATTTCATTGAACTTTCCAAAATATTTGAGTCAGTCTAGAATACTTCAATGATACCTAATGACTGTTTTATAGTGTTTTACAAGTTATTCTACAAGCGTTAGATATCATTTTTTTTCTAGGTCTCAGTGGCCTAAAATAAGTACTGATGCATCCTGGAGTTATCTATTTTCTTTCTAATAATAAAATAAAAATAATTTTCTTTCACTTATAAAATTAAGTAATACATATCATGCTATAAGTAAAAGTTCTATTTCTTGTTATTGTTCAATGAGATTAGGAAGGAAATTCATAGCTACTAAATAGTGGGCCAACTTGAAAGGATAGTAGCATGCATTTAAATTTTAGACATAGGTATAAAAATGAGTTAATTGTCATTGTACATGTAATATTTTCATTGTTTTCTCAGTGGTTCCTAGTTACTTTAATTCATTATCACTACAGTTTTTTTAAAGTCCTGTTACAAAAGAAACCTCCATTTTAATCTACTTTATATTGCTGTTTGCAGCCCTTTATTTAAATGTACATGGGACCTAAGCACTGAAGTTGATTAAACCAACCTACTTGTCAAGAATGATGTGATGATTAAATAATATAGCAGATGTAGACATGCTTGTCAATATTTCCCAAAGTATTGTTTCTCAAAGTAACTGATGTTAATAGTTATAATTTGAAAAGTGAACTCCATATTCTGATAGTTCTTAAAAACACTACTATGAACAGAATAGGTACCTCAGTTGAGTGCTATCTGAAATATGCTAAAATCTTCAAAAGAAATACACAGTATGACCGCTCTCCAAACTTTGACTATGAGCCCTTCTGATCTGAGCATCTCATGAGACCAGTACAATATTAATTTGGGAAATAATGGCTTATATGAAAAGCACTATACAATTATAAAAGATCACATTGATTATGTCACCACTATAGTCCAAATATGATAGGTAAGGAAGAGCAATTGAAGAAGGAACAAGCAAATCTATACTCAATCAGTGGATTTATGAAAGATGATGCAAGTGATGTTCAAGAAGATTCTGCAACTGAAGACAAGTTCTATAGCCTGGATGAACTGCATATTCTGGACATGATAGACCAGGTAAGCCTGATTTGAGAGGATACAGCCCTGCCTTCCTTCTTCCAGAACAATTGTTAACCATTTTTTCCCCATGACTCTTTGAACAGCATGTTAACCTAGTGATTTATGTTGTATTTCTGAGGAAAAAGAAAAAACAGGAAAGGAGGGACAGAGGGATAGCTGACATAAAAAAGAACCCTAGGAACTGGAAACTTTTCACTTTAGTCCTCAGACCATTTCCTGGTTTTAAGTATTGGGCAGAGTTGATTACAAATGCATTCCTTATAAAGAGTTTTCAAATACCACAAGGAAGAAAAAAATACCCTGGCATAATCCCATTGGATTAAATTTCATGAGAAAAATAGTTTTATAAAACAAATCTACTTTCATTTTTCAAAAAGTTAAACCTTTTTGTTACCATGAAATATCTATAAAAAATATTAACAAACAACAATTTTTTGGTTCCTTTCCTGGTGGTAGTCAGTGCTGGGAATGACATACTTATATATGAAGGTGCATATGAACATGATTTTAGTGCTCAGTAGAGCATTTAATGAGACAAAACACATAGAAAGCTTTTTTTTAAAAAAAAAAATCACTTGCTTAACCTACCCATGAGAATTCTGTACTGAGGTAATATATGATATCCTGTTCCATGGTTTAAGTATAATAATATATAATATATAGTAATGTTGGTATCTAAGGATACAGTTAGTACAAATAATTTCCTGGCTGATAGTACATTAGTATCATTGTCATGCCTTTTTGTCTCCTTTCTAATTAAAATATATACATATATTTTAACTGAAATGACATATTCTAAGCTTTGGATGTCACACTAAAGTTTAAATGTGGGGCCTTTGGTTTTCATCCAACAGCTATAAGAACTCAAAAAATAGAATGAAAATGTCACACAGCTTTTGAAAAATGTTTATTCATTCATTTATTCAAAAAACACTTAGCACTTACTTTGTGTCAAGAGCTATGCTAAGACATGGTCCCTGTGATCACAGTGTTTATAATCCAGTGGAGAAGTTGAACATTAACCTAAGGTGATAATTACTAAGGTAATAATTAAGTAGTTTAGCAGTTAAGATTGCCTGAGTTTAGAATTCTGGCTCCTTCACTTACTGTGTGACCTTGGGCAAGTTACTCAGTTTTATCATCTCTAAAGTAGTAGTGAGTGCCTACCTCATATGGTTCTTATGACAATAAAAGCATTACAAAAAATGCTTTAAAAATGGTAAGCATACAGATAACATTATTCAGTAGTAGCAGCAGTAGACAAGTAACTATGGTATTGTTTAGTGAATGCTGTAATTGGAGAGAGGTAGGTTTATTTAAATTAATCAGAGAAGTGGTATTTGCATTGAAACCTATAATGCATGAGTATGAGTTAGACAGCAACTTAAATCCCCTTTAAATAACAATAATAGTAGTGTTTTTCATTTAAATTTCTATAATATTAGTGCTTTTTTAAAGAGGAAAATAAAGCATGAATATTCCATTTGCTCAATAGGGCTCAACCAACAAGGTAACTACAGAATATGGAGAAACTGAGAAGCAAAAGCTTGCTCGACAACGGCAGTTTTGTAAATTGCACTATCAGTGTGAAGTAAGTATTTTTGCCATTATATCTGAGGCAAGTTAGAGGTACTTCAAATGTTCAATTTAATGGTATATATTTTTAAAGAGCCCAGTTTTTTCTTTAAATTTCTGGTGGCTTGAACAGAATTAACTGAAATAATATTTTTCATTGATCAGGATTTCAAAAGACAATTGAAAACAGTGACTTTTCGGTGGCAAGAAAACCAAATGCAGATTAAAAAGAAAGATAAAATCATCTCATCTCTTAACCAACAAGTGGCTTTCGGAATCAATAAGGTGTCCAAGTAAGTGCAAATCTGTTGATAGAAGAAAATTCTGGGTTTGCTCCATAATGAACAGTATCCTTTAAAAGATAATCCCTATGTAGCCACTAGGTGGCATTGTGACTGCACATTAGGAACTGCCAACCACAGGGCTGCAATTGCTTAAAAACCCACTATATTTTGCCTTACCAGCTGGATTGAGAAATAAGCAACTGCTCACTCTAAATATCAAGCTTTTCATGTATTGGCTGAATAAGTGTGAAGATAATAGAATTACATGAGAATGATAATTAGCTTTCAGGTCATGACTCTAATTTGTAAAAATGTGACTAATGATTGGCTGTTTCTTTATAGCATATGGTAAGTACATTCCTCAAAGACATCACTGACTCACTTTCATACCTTTTAATGTTGGTTTCTGAGAGTATTTGTGTTCTAAACGCAAGAGATTGGAAACAAATCAAATTCCCGGAGAATCTTTTCACCCCATCAATCTCATTTCTCATACAACCTCAAGTATTAAAAATGCCTGAGACTAAAAATTCTGATTTAATAAGGGAAAATGAGTATCCTGCTCCATTCTGTTTATACTAACGACTGTCTTGAACCATTTTGAAGTGAAATAGTAATATAATTTGTGACACATTATTTTAATAAACAGTAATACCACAAAATACTAGTCATCCATGATTCTAATTTGAAATCCACTGCAGTTCCTAGACTGCTAATAGGGGAAATAGACAGATTCTAGGGAATATCTTAGTTTAAGGAGTCCAAGATGTCAATAGTTAAATTGGAGAAATATTAGGCAGAGATTTGGGTCTTAAATTTTCTCCCACATAACATTTCATCCAACCTGAACAGGTTTTTAGGAAGAACAGGATGCCATAGCTCTGGCAACATGGTATCAGTTGCAAACACTTTCAGTTTTGTGGACCTAAAATAGCTTGGACAAATTAAACTGACTGAAATCACTTAAGAACCCACACTTTAGGATTCAAAATTTTGTCTTTTAGCCTGAAAGACAATGACCAATCCATAAATATGTTATATAGTATCAGAGACCAGAAAAGTAATGCCATCCATGCAGATGACCTGTCTCTCTCCTTTGCTATCTGAGATATCTCTCTTCAACTCTAATACCTTACCCAGACTCCCTTGTATGCTTGAGACTACAAACAGACCACTTTAGGGAATGCATATGTCTTCACACAAGGAACATTCAGTGCTGAACATTCACCAAACTTTTATCAAGTTCCCACAGTATGCGAAGAATTATGTAAGGCACATGTAAAGGATACCAAGACATATCAGACATTAACTGTGAGCTAGTGGAAAGTATAGATTAATATGAGAGGATTAAAATTACATATAACAGAGGGACCTCCAGTTCCACCAAAATGTAGTAGCTCTGTTACTTGCAAGTCTTCCTTCTTACAACTTAAACACCCTGGATAGAGCACAACAAACATGGGAAGACTCTGAAAGGTAGAAGGAAGCAGACTGTCTAGAAACCTTGGAACTTGAAAGAATGATGTGACAGTGATTTTTTTAAAATTGCCTCCCATGTATCCTAGACAGGGCACTGCAGAAACCTCCAACATGCAACTGTCAGTAAGCACAGGGTAGGGGGCCACTAAAGTGACAAGAAAAGTCTGTTCCCTTTAGCCAGAGGATCAGGGAAAGGAAGATATAATAACATGAAACCTTTTTGGCACTACCCACCTACTCCAGCCAAACACTACTAGACCCACACCACCCCTTGGACACAGGTACTGCACTCTGACAAAAGATGGCAGAAATCAGATTCCCTTGCTGGGGTAGCAATACTGAGCAGGTAGCTAATCTTCCATTCCTCACCAAGTGGAAGCAAGGGGTGCTCCAGTTTCTCTGCCAGGATAGCATCAATATGGTCCAGCTGCGAGCTAAGCCTCTACCTCTACCTAGCATCAACAAGACTTAACAAAGTGATCCAAGGTGGGACTAGTCAATACTAGGTTTTATTCCTACTCTCATGGGGAGCTGAATCTCCACCCTGGGGCCAGGTGGTACTCCATTTCCCCTGCTTTCCCCAGCTGGTGCCAGAGGCACCCAACAGGGAGCTCCTGCCTCTCTCTACTGTACAGCAGCAAAGCAGTGTGAGTCAGCCCTTCTACACTTCACTTGAAGTAAGAAAAGATCAATACCAGTAGACTATGTATGCATATTGTAATACCTAGTGCAACCACTAAGAAAGCTGCATAAAGAGATATACTCAAAAACACTATAAATAAACTAAGATGGAATCCTAAAACATGTTCAGGTAACCCACAAGAAAGTAAGAAAAGAGAAACAGAGGAAACAAACAGAAAACAAATAATAAAATGGCAGACTTAAGCCCTAACATATCAGTAATTACCTTAAGTATAAATGGTCTAAATATATCAATTAAAAGACCAGAGACTGGAAGAATAAATTTTAAAAACAAAACAAAAAGAAGTGTGATCCAACAATATGCTGTTTTTAGGAAATGCATTTCAGTTTCAACAACATAAGTAGGTTGAAAATAAAAGGATGGTAAAATATATACCATGTAAGCATTAATCAAAAAATAAGGAGTGGCTATATTAATATCAGATAAAATGGACTTCAGAGCAAAGAAAGCTGGAGACAAAGAGGGACATTACATAATGATAAAAGGATCAGTCCACCGGGAAGACATAAGAGCCTAAAGGTGTACATAGCAAACAACAGAGCCTCAAAATATATGAAGCAAAACAGACAGAACGGAAAGAAGAAATAGAAGACCTCTACAACACCATCAAGCAACAGGATCTGATTGATATTTATAGAACACTTCACCAGACAATAACAGAATACATATGCTTTCAAGTACCCACAGGAAATATACCAAGATAAACCATATTCTGGGCCATAAAACAAACCTCAGCAAATTTAAAAGAATTGAAATCATGAAAAGCATGTCTCAGATCACAGTGGAAACAAACTAGAAATCACTAACAGAAATATAACAGGAAAATGTGCAAACACCTGGAGACTACACAATATACTTCTAATTAATTCATGAGTCAAAGAAGAGGTCTCAAGGGAAATAAAAATATGTTGAATTGAATTAACATGAAAATACAATATGTCAAAGTTTGTGGGACACAGCTAAAGCAGTTCTGAGATTTATAGCACTAAATGTGCGCATTAGAAAAGGGGAGAAGTCTCAAATGTATAATACAATACAAGCTCCCACCTCAAGAACCCAGAAGAAGAAAAGCAGAATGACCCAAAACAAGCAGAAGGATGGAAATAATAAAGATTGGAAATATTGAAATTGGAAACAAAAAGCAGTAGAGAAAATCCATGAAACAAAGAGCTGGTTTCTTTGAAAATATCCATGCAACTGACAAACCTCTAGCAAACCTGATAAAAAAAGAGAAGACACAAGTTACCACCCTCAGGAATGAAATGGTGATATCACTACAGACCGTGCTGACATCAGAGAATTGTGCTGAGTGAAAAAACCCAATCCCCAAAGCTTATATACTATATTATTCCATTTCTGTAACATTCTTGAAATGACAAAAATTTCAAATAGTTCAAAAATGACAGAGTGCTAAAAATGAAAAATAGATTAGATTAGTGGTCCCAAGGTTTTAAGGAGGAGATGGAAGAGGGAGGGAAGTGGCTGTGGCTATAAAAGGGCAAAATAAGGCGTCCTTGTGGTGATAAAATTGTTCGCTATCTTTAACTGTATCACTGACAACATCCTGGGTTATTATACTGTCGTTTTGCAAGATGTTGCATTGGGGGAATGTGGATAAAGGGTACATGGGATCTGTCTGTATCATTTCTTACACCTGCATGTGAATCTATGTTTATCTGAAAAGCTTAACTTTTTGAAAAAGTGCATATAAATGTCAAATGGAGCTGTATTTAATAGGGATATTGTGGGGTTAAAAGAGTACTTTTGATGTTGAGATAAGGAAGAACTTCATTGAAGACATAGTGTTTTACCTAAGCTAGGTAATACATAGGGTGAGATGGGAGAAAAGACAGAGGGCATTCAGACCAGAGAGGAAAGCATGAATGTTGCGTGTATTCTCATATAAGCTTTTGAGCCTTTCTTTGTTTAATTCACCTGGTCATGTCCCAAGAGCATGTGACAAAAATATAAATATTCTTTCATTGTAAAATGTTGATTTCTTTCAGCTTAGAACATCTTGTTTATTTGGAAGCAAAAACATCTTTTTTCTTTGGCCTAATTCAATGCCAATACTACAGTAAATGTTTGGTCAATATGTTGATGATAATTGCAGTGTTAATAAAGAAGACATACAAAAATGACATATTTTGCACAAATTACAATACTTAATAAATGTTAAGAACAAACATGGGACAAACATGCTGTCCATAAAATTTATATAGTAAACTTCATAGCCAGCCAGAGTAAGCTTGAGAACTTTAGATATTTTAGAGAACAAAATCTAATCCCACCCTGTCATGGTTTTCCTGAGAAAAATAGGACTAACTAGTTATGACTACCTGAACATATATAGCTGGTTCATGTATGAGCAGGATGATAGGAACTATGCCTACCTTATCCTCTGTTACTTAAGAATCCAGGTCTTCTGAATTCCCAATCAGCTTTGTCAGTTCTTATCGCCCACTCTAAACTAGAGCTGGGTAAAATAATGAAGTAATGGCAGTATACATGGGAAAGAAAGATGTCAGTCTTAGAAATCTTACAACTTACTTTGCAATTCTCTCTACATACTCCTGTAGAGTATACAGAAACAAAGCTTGTATTTCTTATTCTTTACTCAAGAACATGATCTCTTTTGTATCTAAAGAGACCTGTTTTCTTTTCTTTGCATTTATCAGTCCAATACAACATTCATTGTAAGTCTCTACAGCTTCCAAGAAGCTTAAATGTAAGTAGGTGGTCTCTGAAATCTAGTGGTGAGCAATCCAGCCAACATGTAACGTCACTGTTTTAAGTCTTTATCATTCCATAGTTTATATAAACCAAAACTCGTATGTATCCCAAGTGTCTGAACGTATCAGAGACTTAAAGAGAAATGTGCTTTTGCTATAAATCTCTTCATATTGAAGCAGATTAACAGGTGGTAAAGAAAAATGCAGCACAAGGGAGGAACATCAAAAATGGTATGTGAATATATGTCAACCCCAAAAGTATTACTTCGCATTTCTTTTAATAGTTTTTGGCATGTCGGTTATTAAGCTAATCATGGGTTATGTTTTCTGATGTATACAAAATTTTTACCCAATCTTCTGTTGATTAGGTCATGTGAGTGACTCCCCTGTTATAATTTATAGTTTTTGGGGTTTTTTAAAATAAATTTATTTATTTATTTATTTTTGGGTGTGTTGTGTCTTCGTTTCTGTGCGAGGGCTTTCTCTACTTGTGGCGAGCGGGGGCCACTCACTGTCGCGGCCTCTCTTGTTGCAGAGCACAGGCTCCAGACACACAGGCTCAGTAGTTGTGGCTCACGGGCCTAGTTGCTCCACGGCATCTGGGATCTTCCCAGACCAGGGCTTGAACCTGTGTCCCCTGCATTGGCAGGCAGATTCTCAACCACTGCGCCACCAGGGAAGCCCCATAATGTATAGTTTTAATTAAAATTCTTATTTGTACACAGCCTCATTGCTTCTGTATTTAAGATCTGATTTCTTTCAGAACTTAAGTCTTTAATAGTTTGCATGACTTGATATACTATCTCTTTAAGGAATTTGAAGTTCTCAATCCCACCATAGGCCTAGAACATCACAAGATGCCATCTCTGTTTTCTAGTGAGTAAACTAAAGAACAAAGAGCTAAAGTCATTTTTCTGAGTCATTGAGCTGGGGATACGATATAACTCTTCAGTTTGGCTTTCTAATTTTCAGGGTTAGAACTTAGTTCTTTCTTTGTAAAGTCAGTAAATCGGACATCAGACATAAGAAAGATAAATCTTAGAAGAATAAGGGAGAGGAGTCCAGTTATTTTCAGGCTCAAGATTTATGGCCCAAAATGGACATACTTAGTCTCTCTCCTCAGCTACAAGTAGGGTTGTTCTGACTGTTAATGATAAATAATTTCTAACATTTTATGGCGTTCTTTCCTCTTTTCTTAGATTGCAGCGTCAGAGCCATGCTAAAGATAATGAAATCAAGAACCTTAAAGAGCAGCTTTCTATGAAAAGGTAACAAACAGCTGTTGCTTTGGTTGAGTGCACCCTCTCTGAAACTGTGGATTCCACTCAGCATATTCTGGCTAAGGTAGCCATATAACTTGTCATCCAAACTAGGGCACTTTTGAGCATGATACTGAGCAGTATTAATAATTACGCTGGGACAACAGATAAAAGCTGGGAATGTCCTAGGCAAATAGGGAGGAATGTTCACCTTGCCTCTGGCCCTGGGAAACTGCTGAGAGTGATTAAATCAGCAAAGCTGTGGTGCCACAACAAACTACTGTCAGGAACTAGGGCTTATGAATTCTTTTTTCTTTACTGTAATCAATACTACTAGGTGTGACTGATTCATGAAACTGGGTAAGTCTTGTTCTGATTTACATATTTTTTATAATAGCTGTTTTGAGATCTAATTCACATAGAATAAAATTCACCCTGTTAAAGAATACTATTCCTTGGTTTGTAGTATATGTACAGAGGTGTACAACCATCATCACTATCTAATTCCAGAACATTTTTCTCACCCTAAAAAGAAACCCTGGGTCCATTAGAAGTCACTCCCCATTCTCTTGTCCCCCAGCTTCTGGGAACCACTAGTCTATTTTTTTGTCTCTGTGGATTTACTTATTCTGGACATGTCATATAAAAGGAATCATATAATAATATGTGGCCTCTTTTGACTAACTTCTTTCACTTAACATAATGTTTTCAAGGTTCATCGTGTTTTAGCATGTATCAGTACTCATTCCTTTTTATGGACAAATAATATTCCATTGTATGGATATACCACACTTTGCTTACCTTTTCATCAGTTGATGGACGTTTGGTTTGTGTCCAGTTTTTGGCTGTTACGAATAAAGCTGGTATGAACATTTGTCTACAAATTTTTGTGTGGACATATGTTTTCAATTCTCTTGGGTATATACCTAAGAGTAGAATTGCTGAGACATGCAGTAAACTCTGTTTAACTTTTGGAGGAACTGCCAAACTGTTTTCCAAGTGACTGCACCATTTTATAATCCCAGCAGGAATGGATGAGTGTTCCAGTTATCCACATTCTCACCAAGACTTATTATTTTATCTGTCTTTAGTTCACCCATTGTAGTGTTTGTAAAGTGGTATGTCTTTTTGGTTTTGATTTGCATTTTCCTAATAATTATGTTGAGTATCTTTTCATGTGCTTATTGGCTATTTGTGTATCTACTTGGAGAAATGTCCATTTACTTCCTTTGACTATTTTTAATATTGGGTTGTTTCTCTTTTAACTATTGAGCTTTAAGAGTTTTTTGTATATTCTGGATACAAGTTCCTTGTCAGATACATGATTTTCAAATATATTCTTCCATTCTGTGGGTTGTCTTTTCACTTCCTTGATCATGTCCTTAGAAGCACAGTTGATTTTGATGAAGTCCAATTTATCTATTTTTTCTCTCGTAGGCAAGTTTTTCACAGTATTCAGTGGCATCGTAATTCCTTTTTGTTGACTCCTTGAATATTTTATAACTTTTTCCCTCAAAATAATCTGGCCTTATTGATATTAACAACATATTGTCTTATCAGGCTTCTCATCAACGTTTGTCAGGTACTCAAGCATCCAGCTGTTTCTAATAATAAAACATTGAGGAAAGCCTTTGTGAAAGTCCTTATTACAAAAATGTTATACGTCCAATTAATTGCTTTCATTAGAAACATAATTTGGTTTGTATGCTCTAGCATTCTGGGGCTCAAATGTAGGAAGCTGAAATGGAATACGAAAAAGAGAAACCTCATCAGTAGCCATTTTCCATAATGTCCTTCATAAATAATATCCTTATCATCATCTCCTTCTCTCCTTCTCAAGCTATGGGAATTGTTTTCATTCTAAGGTACTGAATGTGAGCACTGAGATAAACAGTAAAATATTTTAATATGGTGACTTAGCTTTATGACAGGGATAATAAAAACTTTTGTGGTTGCTATTGTTAGGACATAAAAAGGCTTGTAGAAACTTTATTTTATGTAAAATTTATTAATAATAATAGCTAACATTTATTTAGTAATTAGTATGTGCCAAACACAAAGTGCTTTATGTATATTATCTGAATGAATTTTCACAACAACTATTTGAGGTAAGTAATATAATTTTTCCATTTTTATATGTGAGGAAACTGAGGTATAGAGAAGTAACTTGCCCATGGTTTCACATTTAATAAGTTGTGGAGGTCAGATTCATCTTCAGAAAACTTGATTTCAGAACCAAGGTTGTTTTTTTTTT